GATAGAATGGCGCCCTGAGGGATGCTAGATGTCAGCTCTCTTTTAGAAGAGTGACTATCCCCTAGCATCAAATACCGCCAAGGTGTCTAAGAGCACCAATACGGTCACACTTCCCCTGTCGATGCCCAGATGGAGATCATCGACTAAGGTGACCATGGCAGTCTCAACTCCGTATCCCGCCCTGAAGCCGGTTTGAAATGGGTCCAGATAATCAGCTTCTTCTAAGACAGCTTAGAGCTGGAAGGCAACTGCCCTCTCGATTACCTTACCCAAGAATGTTAGAAGGGAGACTGGCCTGTAATTATTTTTCACCAGGGGATCAAGGGAGGGTTTTTTCAAGATCGGTTTAACCACTGCTAGTTTCAAACTAGATGGAAATTCCCCCTCCCTGAGGGATGCATTAATTATAAGTTGCAATAATATTTTTACTGCATCACCTCCCTGGACTGTCAACCATGATGGGCAAGGATCAAGAGGGCATGTTGTCCTCCTTACACTTCCAAGAAGCTTGTCCACTTCATCGGTATTAACAAACTCAAAATGATCAAGTTTAACACAGTCCACAGAGTCTCTGGACATCTCTCTTATTGGTTCTGTTATAATGCCCACATCTAGATCGACCCTTATCTGAAAAATTTTATCTACAAAAAAAGTCATTAAAAGCAGCACAGCAGGCTTTAGGGTGGGAGGTAGTTGAGTTAATTCTTTAACCACCCTGAACAGCTCTGCTGGACGAGACTTTGCAGATGCAATATGTGCAGCTTAGAAAGAAATGTTTCAGTCACAGGCATTTCAGGTCTGAGGACTGGGAACCATTTTGGATCCAAATTAGATTTCTTCATTGTTATTGTTGTTAACTGCCCATGAGTTGGCTTTGGCTTACAGTGACCCCATGAGGGAGACTCATTATACCATTATAAAGCTTTGTCACAGTATCACAGAGGAATCATAATTGAATGGGGATATTTTTGTCAACTCTTATCAAAGACAAAATTTGTGTTCTTCTATACATTTTTACCACTTCATTTAAAGAGCTGCTAAAACATATCAAGCTACCGTATCTACTCAACTATAAGTTGACCTCGTGTTTAAGTTGATAGCGGGTTCTGGGGCCAAAATCATGGATTTTGATATGACTCGTGGATAATAAATAATAATAATAAAATTTATTTATACCCCGCCCTCTGGAATCCCAATCTGGGTGGCTTACAATTTAAAAACATATACATATCCATAAAACACAGATTTATACAACAAACCCCCTCCCCCCCTTAAAACAGTATTAAATCAATGATTTTTAAAATGACAAATAATAACAAAACTCATTAAAATACAATACAAACCCAGAGTATGTGCCCAGCCAGAATATCCTACCATCAATGATGGGGCCACGTAAGGATAACTGGGGAGGGTTATTTATACCCGAGTCTGGGATAAGTTGAGGGTAAAACGTAGGGGCATTTAACAATGGATCTAAAGGATAAAGAAAAGGAAAATGATGCCCAAGAACTTACAAACTTCCAGCAAGTGTAACTGTTTGTGCTCACATTAAAGGCTGGATGGATGAGAGAGTAAATAGAAGTCAGTGCTTCCGTGACAGATTATATTCTTGGCTCACACCAAGGGATGGTTCCTTTTTAAAATAAGAGTTAAACTACAGTACTTACATTTACCTGTGGATAAGTAGACTCAGGTTTTATGGGTCAATTTTTGGCTAAATTTTCTAGACTTATACATGAGCATATACAGCAATTATCTAGAAATAGACATCTAAACAGTTTCATAGGGGAAGAAAACACACTGGATCAAAACCAGAGGAAAGTGAGGTACCCTTTTCTGCTCAAAACATGGGCTGCTGGTAATCAAGAGAGAAATTGAAAGAGGCGGAGAAGAATCAACTTTTCACTTACTGGTTTGCCATCTAAACCAATTGGGCCCTGGAAAGAAAGAGGAAAATGCGGTGAGCAATGGACTTAAACAAGTAACTAAAATGTGCTTATGGCTCCTCTATGCAGCCCATAACTTTGAATACTGCTTAACAGAGCTTGGAAAAGTTTCTGCGGCTATGTTGGCTGAATATTCTGGGAAATGTAATCCCCCAAAGCAATTTTTCCAAGTTGAGAGTCTTGGACAAGAGAAGAGGAAAGAACATTACAAGCTTTGTTGTGATTATATAAGTTACTATAGCACTTAGAGAAATAAAATCTTACAGTAAAATCATATTTATGCTGAACTCGGAAGTCTCACTACATCATAATGGGTTGAACATGAATATGGCTGCAGCCTTTGTGAACTGTACAATATTTTACAATGTGTGACAATTTATCATTTGCTTCAAGATTTATATTTTGCTTTCAGGTAATAAAATTGTGCTAGTACTATTGTTTGATGCTGCAGTTCATTACCACTATATGGTACCAGGAGTAGAATTCTTGCAACAACTTGTGACATGGATGAATCAACTGTGTGTACTTCACCATTGTGGAATACTGTTTTATCTGAATGAGTACTGGAAAGGTTTTAAGCAAAAAGCATGGGCACTCAGACTTATGAGGCAGCCCATTTCCAGCATGTGTGGGTGGCACCAAGTTCAGAGGTATCTGGTTCTCTTCCCAGGTGTCTCTATTCTGTTTTCCTAGACTTCTGGGAGTGTGGTCAATGACTATGCAGCTTTCTTGTTATAAGGATGGGCTCTTCCCAGCAGACATAGGCGTCACTCAGGTCTCCTTTGAGAATATTTAACCAGCTCCCCAACAGTCCTCCAGCATTCAGCTGGAGCTTGTTTTCCCACTTCCTGCCCTTGAAAGGCCTCTTGAGATACCAACATTTGCACTAGTGGCCTGTTAATGACTTTTGCTCATGTGATTGATGTTTCTGCTTAATTTGTCACAATTCTGGTGATGTGATATGGGCCTGGATCCATTCTGAGGGACATAAGAGCTGTGCGCCCTGGGGTCCCTTTAGGAATTCTTGGAGGTGCAAGCTAAGTCAGCCAGGTCACTTAAGTTAGAAAAGAAGAAGACATTGGGGCTATGCAGACGGGCAAGAAGGTGTGCTTTGAGGGTGACTTGTATGCATGGCTTTTAGACAACGCACACCCAAAAGTCTCCAGGAACGCGCCCTCTAGCCGTTGTATGCCAAGAAAAGCCGCTGCAAAAAGGAATTTTTGTAATTGTAACCCTACACATGCACCCTAGCAACTGTCCTCTGTTATGAC